GGCAAGCAAGCTGACCGCCAAGCAATGTAGAGCTGGTCAAAGCTGTTAGAGAAATCGTTCGCTACGTAGGTAGAGGATTACACATGATTTGTAATTCACCAAAATTCAGGCTTTCAGGTAATCCCTGAACTGCTGTGGATGAAGGACACGCCCTAATCCTGCTCCCGAAATCACTAAATAGCATGTTAGCAAGGTACAGATAGAGGAAGTCACTAGCAGCCAATCAGAGCAAGATTCAACAATGAATAGTAGAACTCGGAGTTTTGGCTGGGCAAAAGCGATTCCTATCTGCCGAATGCTCTCTCCGGCCGCAACAGAACACCCTCCCATTCCTGGCTCCGCGCCATGTCATCTCAGAATAACCTCCCTCTTCCCGTCCCCGCCACCTGATCATGACTAACTATCGTCCCGCCGCTTTCTCGACCGCTGTTCAACCATCAGTCTTGAAGATACGATTACCGATTTGGAGAGAATTTCGTTTGACAACTGCTCAGAAGAATCTTACTGTTGCACTCGCCAACGAAACTTGGAAACGAATTGCTTGGATTTTATTTTCGGAGTGACAATGAGAATATGGGTGGCACATCTACCCCAACTGTGCTCCTTACCACTTACCACTGCAACATCCCGAAGTGTATTTTGAAATAATCTCGCTCGTTTTCGTACCACTTCTCGATGCTTCTGCATATATTTGATAATTTCCAGATCAAGATCGAACGGAGCGAACCTCTTGAAGTAGCAGCATGCACCACACATTTTTGCTTGGCTCTTCTTTTCTCAGCTGCGCCTTCATTCATGGCGAAGCCGCTTTTGACCCCTAATCCCGTTGTCGGGCCTTCATTAATCCACTCGCTCTTGTTGAATATTTAACATTCCACTTATATTCTATTTATGATGATTAAAACCGAATAATACAAATAAAAGAAAACAATAATAAAAAGATGTTAATTTGTGTTAACTGTTTTTCGCTTCGCAAGATCTACAGTTTCTACTTGCAGTGATTCTTTGGAGATCGTGCGACTGGCCGACTTCCCAGCCTCAAGTGCTACTTACTCATTCGTTGCATCCAACGAGCACGATAAGCGAGACGATCTCCCATCCTCTCCCGCTTTACCGGAGTATTTTCCTTTTACCTGTAACAGCACTGAAATCGCGCAGATTTATTTGGCTAATCATGCCCAGGCATCCTTCATCACCTCTTATAAGTCATAGCCAGCGTTCACTCGTCAGTTTTGGTCAGTGATCACTTTTCATTGCCTTCATCACAACGTTGTTGAACGATTGGGGAAAGGTCCTTTGAAAACCAAGGGCTTCGTCAGTGATTGTACATTCTAAGAAGATTCCTAAGGAAGAGATTGTAGCTCATATTTACTTCCTGCAGCTCTGATCCTAGTACTCAAGGAAGAATAGGTTGTTCGACAGCAACACCCGTTGTCGATCGAGAAACGCATGGAGTAGATTGGGATCCCATATTATCTCCACAAGGAAGAGGTGTGCATAGGCAATTCAGAAGGAAGTGGTGCGTGCACGAAATTCAATGTAAATTACAGTCTTATATCCCAGGAAATTTCTTGGATGGCAAGGCGTCTCAACGTGATCTGGAAGTGGTGACAGTTGCAAAGGAAGTGATAGCGCTTAATATGTATTAGCTAAAGCTTTGCTAGAGTGCGTCTGCTGGAAAAGCCGCTGAGTCGATAATCTCTCAAGAAGAGGAAAGTGATCACTAAACGATTTAGCTTTGATGATTAAAGCAACCACGAAATGAAGACCCGCCCGATGCGTTCAGCCTGGGTCTTTCTTCAAGCCTTCTAGCTCTTCTGGTTCTCGAGTTGAAAGTGGGCAACAAAAAGTGCGAACACTCTTCCCAATGTGTGTTTTTGCTATTTGCACATATGCAAAAACTCATGTAAATGGCGTGATTGTCGGTTATTCCAAAGATTCACCGGTGTATTCCAGGTTATAACTCCCGGTATGTACAGTTGCATTCAATATGCGAGTGCATTTCTTCAATCGAAGCTTCACACCAACAATCGATACAATGACTGCGATCTTTTGATGGATTACAATGAGCAGTTTGCTATGAAATATGTGATTTGTAATTCGACCATAAGTAAACATGAAACTTCTTTTCTCAACCCAAAAACCCTTTGCAGGCTTACCTCACACCATTTGAACATGTAAAAGTGCACCTCAAGCACTGCTGGCTCTCAAAAAAACCGGAATACATGCAACTCGTGCACTTGTGATTTTTCTTGTGTGTGAGTATATGTATATTTATACGTGTTTGCGAATGGTCAACGTTCAAAGGGTTTTTACCGCAAAGTGCAGAACTTTAGACGTCTGACGGATATTTGTGTACAATTGATCCCTTGCTCACAGATGCTAGAAAGTTCAGCTCCTTGCTAATTCGAATTTTCTGGCAAATCTTTGAACTTTGGCCTATTGATCCTTGTCTTTCTGCCCAAGTCAGTAGTAGTGAACGGCTCCTACAGTACCAGTAAAGTAGCCAAGGTCCGCCCCATATCGCCTTCTTCTTTTCATAGGTTACCATGGCACAACTAACG